ATAATGAAGAATCTATTGATAATAATTCAACATTCCATGTGAACCAAAATTTACTTCCTTTTCCTAATTGACTTTCTGCTTTAATTTCTCCTCCATTAATTTCTACTAAACTTTTACAAATCGAGAGCCCAAGTCCTGTACCATCTTGTGCTTTAGTCATTGACATGTCACCTTGTGAATAACTTTGCCATGCGTGTTTTATATATCCTGGATCAATGCTATGATTATTAAATAAATTATTAGCTTATATGCTTAATATATAGAATATATAATATAAATATAAAGTGCATATAACATAGAGTAGATATAATTAAAGAGTACATTATCATACCCAATGCCAGTGTCGTGTAATTCAATTAATAAATTGCCTTTTTTATTATTAATCGGTTTATTTTTGTCAGCATCAATGACATCTTGTAATTGCATTGAAATTGTCACTACAACTTTGCCCTTGTCGGTAAATTTAATTCTAAGGAATTAAGAATAATTATTAAATACAATTAATAAAATATATATGTGTGTGTAAATAAATAAATAAATAAATAAATAATTACGAATTTGATAATAAATTAGACAAAACTTGTTTCAGCCTATTTACAATAATAAGAGACAAAAGAAACAATGTAAGTAATAAAAAAATTTTTACACAATTTAAGAAAGTACATTAATTCTAGTCACCTTTCAGGATCGCTCTTAACATATCTCGGCAACATATCTACCTCACAATCTACAATTAGTTCTATTCTTTTAGCTCCAGCATTTTCTCCAAATGACTCAATCGTACTCTCAACTAATTCTAACAAATCAAATGTTCGATTAATTAAAGTAACTTTTCGTGCTTCTAATCTTGCTACATCCAGAATATCATTTACTATAGATAAAACTATATCAGAAGCTCGTGCCATGATTTCAATCATGTCTCTTTGATCAGTGGATAAGGCAGTATTCTCGAAAGAAGAAAGAATGCCTACTATCGCTCCTAATGGTGTTCGTAATTCTATTACGTATAATGGAATAATAATAGAATAATAATAATGAGAAGTAAAATTTAATTAGCAAGATAAAAAAAAAATTTGAAGATTATGCGTGATACAGAATGAGAATAATATACCATGAGAAGTATTTGCTAATATTTGACTCTTTGCTTTATTCGCAATTTCAGTAGTTTTTATTTTAAATTCATTTGCAGCATTTTCCTCTAATATGTATGCATAAGTAATACCTAAACTTATTTGATTTGATATTTGTTGTAATAATTCTATTTCAAAATCGAGCCAGATAGAATTTGGAGGTCTATGTACTTTTATCCATCCCCAACAAATATCATTCAACCTTATTTCTGCAGATATTACTGATACATTTTTCCCAATATTATCACAATATACGTCGAAAAGGACGTCTATTCCTGAAATATTATCTAGAGATTTTTGTAAATTGGTTAATGTTTGTGATTTATTTTTAATGTTGTCATTAACTTTAGTTAATAGATTAGTGATCGGTGTTATATTTTTCGGGGTTTCATATAAAGCGACTATTTTATTATTTTCAAATCCAGATTGGTTGTTTGTAATAATAAATATTCTTTCACT